GAGCAGGATCCAAGATCGTGGTCAAACAAGTCAGGGGTTAAATCCAGTCGGGCAGCGAGGTACAAAGGCAGGAGACAGAGGCAGGTCCAAAAGGAAAGCAGGAGGTCAGGGGCAGGCAGCAATTGTCGAGGACAATCCGGGTCAGAAGTCAGCAAGGTAATCGGAAGCACAGAAAACCCAGGGGAAGCTGAAGACAATCCAGCAGCTTGGAGTCTGGTAGGCTGGCTTTAAATAGGCTGATCCATCAGGAAATAGCATCACTTTCTGTGTGCCGTTTGGCACGCTTTTGCGCAGCTGTTCCATGGTGCGCGCAAATGCCCGTTTACCCGCAGTACGGAAAACTGGGCCCCCCGCACATGCGCAGTAGCGGGTGGTTTCTGACACAACTGTCTTCCAATTGTCAAATAAGCCTACAAGCCACCAAAGCATTGAGCGGACATGGTCTATTGTTATCACTATCAGCCGGTTTAGCTCTATGGTGAACTAGTGCATGTAGGCAGGAATTGGCTGAGAGGTTGCAGGAGATCAACAGCACTGAGATGGAAATCAGATCAATTGTTTTCGATGAACAGAGCAAACTAAATGTCGTCCAGTTAAGGTTTACATCTGCAGAATTTTTCACCAAAGTATTTCTCCACCCGGATTGGTGCTGTGGACTTGGAAAGGTGTGGGATTTTCCTGAGCCATGTCATTCTTACCATACCGGATATTTTCTTCTGGCATTGGGAGTCTCCGCTGATATCTTTTTGTTCCTATTCTAGATGTTTTTCAACGTCCCTACGGCAGAATTATTTACATGCCGATTGCACTTGAGGTTTATGCCGGCTAAAAAGCCGTGTAATTGATTGAGATTCTTGTATTTACAGGCCCGGGCATTAGCCCATTGTTTGCATTGGCCGCCTTTTGGTATGCATAACGCTAACCCACAACCGGTGTTAACATGCTGACATTTTGTGCGAGCGGACGAGGAGCCTTGTAATGTGTTCCCTGCATTTCATTACCAGGTGTGGGAAATTCATTTTGATTCTTGCAGAAAACAGGTTTGAGATTAGACCGCTGGAACCTTGAAAATCGCTTTTCTTTCCGAGCCGGATTCAGCGAGGGTGTTATATATAGCTCTGTCAGTTTCTATAGGCCGGGCTGTACTTGTAAATTTTCTCAGAGTTTCATCTGCACGTAATTAGTTGCAGTTGTGCTGCTCCAAAATGCAAATTCCAGTACAACAGCTACAGTTGAAAAACAATGGGGAGAGATCTGGGGCTGTGAATAAGGGCAGAATGGTAGAAAATAGGGGGGGTCTAGGGACAGAATGTGTGCAAAATCTGCGCGTCTGCAATAGGGGAAGAATGGGCGCATATCAGGGGGTCTGCATAAGGAGCAGGATGGTTGCAAAATCCAGGAGTCTGCAAAAGGGGAAACATGGGTGCAGAATAAGGGGGTCTGCAGTAGGGGAAGAATGGGCAAAATTCAGGGGGCCTGTAATAGGAGCAGAATGGGTGAAGAATTAGGGGGTTTGCCATTGGGGCAGAATGGGCACATAATCAAGGGGTCTGTAATTGGATTTTTTTGTAATGTAATTAGGGGGTCTGCAAAAGGGGCAGAATCAGGAGTCTGCAATGGGGACAAAATGAGCACAGAATTTGGGGGTTTGCAGTAGGGGCAGCATGGGTGCAGTATCCAGGGGTGTGCAATAGGGGCAGAATGGACACTAAATCAGGAGCACTGCAAACAGCGTCCTAATGGGTGCTGAATCGGGGGGTTCTGCAAATGGGGACAGCCAGGTTTTCTTAGCGGCTTAACATGCACGTGTCTTTATACATAAAGTGTGGACCCCTTAAAGTGTCGGCATGTACCTTTGGAAGCCTACAAGAGCACCCTGGGACTACTAAGGTCTGGAGCGCGCTAATCTCTAAAGAGTCTATAGTTCCATGTTGTATCGATGAGCGCATTGTCACTGCACCTTCCTATTGGCCAAATGAGGCCGCCCCCTGTGGTAAAGACCTAAATTGGAAGGTGAGAGGTGTTGGTTATGTGTTTAGATGAAGTACTGAGATCTTGAGGAATGCTGAATTACGTTTTACTTGCTTATAAACTTCTTTTTGTTCCTGGTTTGACCTTCTTAACATTTACACATGTGGGAGGAGAACTTACTACACTAAGGATCTGATTCAAATTCCATCGTGTGTAGAGGCCAGTTGGAGATACTCTAAATAGTAACTGTTTTCACAGCAAGGGAGGACTGCACTGGCATTATGTCACCATTTTAAATAAATATAATGTTTGGTGACAACCATCTTTGTGAGGTCACAATTTAAATTTTACATCCTGTAATCGTCCAAAGACATCAAACGTTCCCCCAGCAGAATCCAGGGCTCTGCTGTGATAATTAGCAGCAGATTTGGGGTTTGGCTGTGGTTGGTTCATGGTCAGTGGTGACCAGGCCTTCTGATGGTGGAGGATGGCAGCCCAGTACGGGGAGGGGTCCTATCTTTTCCACGTCATGAAAAACGGGCAGAGGGTATTTTAATCCCTGGTGTCTGACATTGCAGTGTCCTGCTTGTTGTGTGCTGGGCCGCCTCCGATGTCATTAATATGCCACACACAGCTCTGGCAAGATAACTGTGACATAAAGTGAGCCGAGCCCGGCCGCAGTGTACAGTACATCCTCCCGCCTGTCAAAATGCTGATCACTCACTTTTTCTTCACTCCTGGAATACATAGCCTCCAACATGCTGAACTAATCTCAAGAGATGCTTTGTTGCTCATATTTGAAACCCTAACTAGCCCCACCCTCACAGTACTCACCTGGTGGTAAGGGGTGGGGCTTCTAGGCATGGGTGGGGTGAGGCTTGTAGGCATGGGTGGGGCTTCATTAACATTTTCTAGCACCTCCTATTTCTGGGTGCGAGTCTGGCTGTGCTACAGAAATGTACAGCGGCACTGAAATTATTTTGGTACCATGCCATTAGAGCTGCAACTAACGATTTTTTTCATAATCAATTATTCGGCCGATTAATTTTTTCAATGAATCAGAGAAACAGAAAATACCATCTTTCATTTAAAATAAAATACACAAATGGAGTGTTGAAGTTTGAAATGTTTGTAATAGCCAACAGCAAGCTGACTATTGTACCCGCCCACTGCTTGCTGTCAATCAGCACAGGAGGGACCTAAAGGAGAAAGTTCTCCTTCAGGTTGTCCTCGGCTGATTGACAGCAGGCAGTGGGCAGGCACAATAGCCAGCCTGTTATTAGCTATTGTAATTTGAAATAGCCAATAGTAGACTGGGTTATTGCAGGGGTGGCAGCTGGTCTCTCCTCCCCGCAGTGGCTGGCTGCAGCAGTCTATATCCCCTCTGATCCCTGCTGCCTCTGCCGACACAGACGGGCAAGAGCAGCAAAGATCGGAGGGGGCAAAAACCATATTATGCAGCTGCAGTGGGAGAGAGCTGCAAGAGGTGGGGGGAGGGTTTGGGGGAGCTCTCCTCACTGCTGAGCATCAGCTGCAGGGATCTGTGTCCCCTTTTATCCCCACTGGGAGCAGAGTGGGTGGGGGGGGGGATTTGGGGAGCTCTCCGCACTGCTGGGCACCAGCTGCCGGGGTCTGCATCCCCTTGCTCCCAGCGGGGACCTGAGGTGACACAGAGCCTATGAAACACCGGCTCCCAGCACAGAGGCAAGAACTTGGCGATCCAGATCAACTAATTAATAATGAGAATAGTTGACAACAATTATTGATCGATTAGTTGGTTGCAGCACTACATACGATCCATATTCATGACAGATTCAATAATTGATTTCAAGTTTTCATCATTGTATATCATGGCCCCAATTGGTTTATTTGTACTTGATTACATTTTGACCACTGCTGGTACTAATTACAAAACAAAAGCTAATAGATGATGAGACCTAATCTAACAGGCAGATTAGGTCGGGGAGGGATATTGTTATAAAGTTGTGGAGAAATAACAGGGAATATCCCGAGGGTGTTAAAGGTATCTCCATGCATCAGCTTTTGATGTATGCTTTGTGTGCAATGGGAGTTTACATTTTAGTGGAGGGGAGTTTTCTGTGGAAAGTTCACAGGAACGCAATATTTGACCTTACTTAAAGTGTATGTCAAGCCTTTGTTTTTAATTTCTCTTAGAGCTAGGGAGGATCTTGAACTGGGGCAAAAAGAGAAACAAAAATCAGACTGAGGTCCTAGCCTTACTCTACTCCGGAAGGTTTTCCTCACTTCCTGTCTGTATACACATTGTCAGCAGGACAGGATGTAAGGAGAGATTTCACTTACAGGACCCTGGATAGCAGCAAAACCTTCCCCATGTTATCCAAAACCTAAAAAATAATCATATTTGACTTGACATACTCTTTAAATCTAAAGTTTAAGATGTCCATACTTTGTCTCCTGATTCCTCCCTCCCCCTTCATCAACAGCGTAATGAGGTTTTTAAATACAGACCTTATATAAGTTACGTCTTGTCACTGGATCGCTATAGAATTCAGGCAGATCATGACATGATGCTGCACATAGGTTCCTGAAAACATGACAGCACCCTGCCTCGGTACTCCTCTCTAGAGCTCTCAGCACTGATACAAGCAGTAGGCTGATTGTTGGGAGGAGTTATGCAAAAATCTAAATGCGCCTTATGATGCTGAGCTTCCATGATTGAAAGAACTGAAATCCAATGAATGAAAGGGGTGGGCCACAGACAGTCAGGCTGGGTGGGGGTGGGGGGGGAGAGGGCCGTTCATTTTGGTATCTGGCTCACGAGACAAATGACGTACACCATGACAACTTGTAGTCATCTATGAACCTTGAAAATGGGGACTTTAGTCCCCCATGCGGTCAGTGTTGAGCACAGATAGGTGCAGTTGGAGCTCAGGTGGTCCTCACAAACGCCTGCCTTTATTGCTTCCGCCCTTGATTTCGGTAACCGGCTCACGGGACAAAACATATGTCCATGTTCTGACTCACATATTTTTTTTTTCCTCCCACAGGCTACGTGTTCTGTATGTTACATCGCCTACCAGAACAGCACGACTGCACGTTCGACCACATGGGCCGCGGACGCGAGGAGGCCATTATGAAGATGGTGAAACTAGACCGCAAAGTGGGCAGGTCCTGCCAGCGCATCGGCGAAGGGTGTTCCTGAGTGCCACAACCTCCAACCAAATGCTGTTTCTCTTAGTTCACTAATGTTAGCCTTATTTAGGACAAAGTCAAGCAGGCTCTCACTACTGAGCAAGTGACAGACTACAGCCAGTCAGGTTCCTTCTTATTTTATTTTTTTTTAAACAAAAACTGTGCAGGTACTTTAAAAGAATTTGAAAGAATGGTAGTGGATAAGCGTTGGCCAGGCATCCGCTGTCGGCCATTATGAAACCACCAGAAACGTATTTAAAGTTATAGATAACGCTGTGTTCATAAAAGTCATAAAAGTCGTACTTCCAGGACTGTTCAATCGCTGGTCCATCTCCTTCACTTTTTTTTGTTTGACACAGATTACTAAAAAAAAAAAGCTACATTTCTTGTTTAACGTCCATTGTCGTGTGATACTTCTGTTTTTATAGCATCGCGCGTCTGAGTGTTACTATTTAACAGCATCAGGGATTTGATTGGGCAGGGGACAACCTCCCAGTCAGGTTATCAGGTTATTCAAGTAGCGCCAAATTGAAACAATGGCATTTGCTGTCCTTCTGGTCAACCTCTCGTTGGACGTGAACCGGCGCCATAGCATGCCCTCGCTAACCAAGAAGCCGAGTTTTATCAGTACGAGAGCTGACTACGAACCCAACCTCCCCGGATAGCCTTAACCTGATTGGCTTTTGTTTGCAATTTGCTAAGTGATGGTGTTTGTGGACGAAATAAGGCTAACTCGCAGCCACAGTAGCCACGCTGACGCCTACA